CTGAGTGAACCAAACTGGTGTATGTATGATTGAGACTAAGCCACGTTACTGTATCTTATTCACCTGATCATTTTATTTTCCCTGTGTGTTATGTAAATAAACCTTGTTCTTTTATTTTGTTGAAAATCCATCCCTGGTCTGTGTGACTTCTTATAGGGAATGGTTGGTGGCAGCTTAGTGAAAGTGTGGCATCCTCCAGTAGGTCTGGGGTTGTCACAGAGATATCGCACCATCAGATTCCAACTGCACTTTTCCCCCCACACCCTAATCCTGCAAATCTCATGTCAGTGGCAAGGTTCACTATTCTGTTCTATAATAACGGAAAGTGATGCATTTGTGGGGAATATATGCTCCCTTGAAGGCTGGAGGAAATAGACCCACTGCTGTTAAACCTTTAAGTTAAAATGGGCATGTATAGGTATTCACCTGCTGAAAAAAAAGAGGACATCCTATAAGGAATGGAAAATAAAATTAAATAAATATCATTTTTCATTTGATTCTTTAATTAGTTCCTTTAAATAGTGTTAACTGCTCTGAACTACTTGTTATGTAATACAGAAATAGTTACCTGACTAACTAACTAACTAACTAGGTGGGATACCTACCTAACTAACTAACTAACTAACTAGATGGGCTAGAAATAGTTATTTACCAACAACTTTTGTGGGATATGAGTGAATCACGCCATTTGTTAGTTGTATAAAAATAGGAACGATGCTGCTGCAGCCCAGCCAACAATGGCAACTAAAGCAGGACGCCTAAAAAAACAATTTTTACATAGGAATCACAATGAAAAGGAACGTGATGCCTCCTTGGGTGTGCTAGCTGTGTTCTGTCCTACGTTTTACAAAATATCATGCTTTGATTGTTTATGAAAATAATAACACTGTTCCCACAACAGAAGGTTTGCCTTGAAGAAGCACATGAAATCTCTGCAACAAATAATAAAACTACTCAAACATCTGACTGTGCAGAATGGCTTTCAAAAACAAGTCTGTGGCCATGAATCATCTCGCCTGATTACGTCTTTTGTCCATTTGTACAAGAATCCAGCTCACCAGGTCCTTTCCTTCCCCCTTAAGGATGCAGATGGAAAAAAGTTTGTACAGTTTGAAGCTGATAGAGATCAGGATTCATCTGCCATTTTTGAGCTGCACATTTTTTTTTAATTTTTGCAACTGCACATTATGCATCCAATTGTGGGCTAACAAATCCCTGCAAATAATGTATATCCAACACGCAAAACCCAGGATGCACTGCAAGATCCCTGTGACTCTGAAAGCGATGGGGGCTGGGAAATATCTGGTTCAGAAGTGGAGGTGGAATGGTCTGGGTGTTGGACTGAGACCGAGAAGATGTTTCTCTTTTCCATTTCATCCCCCAAAATTAATATAAAATATATATATATTTTTTAAAAAAAGGTAATGGGTTAGGGTGCATTCCCAACCCCACTGGTATGACTCAAATGGGAATTATCCAAGAATGACAGGAACTTGCAAAACACCTTTCTTGCCTTAATTTATAAGTTTCTTATTCTATTTTTTCCTTGTTGTGCCTCAACCTATCTGCTTATACATTTCTAGAGATAGTCAAAAGCAATTTTATGTTCACGAAATTAGATTAGATTAGATTAGATTAAATAAAAATCATACTAACGAGTAGACCAGATAGGCGGGGTATAAATCAAATAAGAGATAGTCAAAAGCAATTTTATGTTCACAAAACTAGATTAAATAAAAATCATACTAACATACTACTCCTGGACTGGCATATTCAAATAAAATAAACAAACAAACAAACAAACAAACAAACAAACAAACATACTACTCCTGGACTGCCGTGTGCCTTTGAATTCATTTTTAACAAAACTGAGGGATACAAACTCCCAAAACGAAGCTTTAGGGTTGCAAACTGATAATAGGATGGCAAAAATGGTGACAGGTAA